CATAAATATAATTCACCACACTACCACATTAAAAGAGAAAAACCACATGTAATTTTAAAAGGTATAGAAAAGGCATTTGAAAAAAAAAAAACATCATTAGTTTATTATTAAAGAAAAAATCTTTTAGTAAATTAGGAATAGAAGAGAATCAACATGATAAAAAGCACATATAGGCTGGCTGTAGCAACTCACTCCTGTAATACCAGCACTTTGAGAAGCCAAGGTGAGAGACTCACCGGAGGCCATTGAGACTCTGTCTCTAAAATAAAACAATAATTTAAAAATAATAAATAAATGCAAAGCACATTTAAAAATTAAGCAAATGGAGAAACGTTAGAAGTTTACACTTCAAAATCTGGAATGAGGCAAGGATGTGCATGATCACCACACCTTTTCATCCTTGGATGAATTTTCTTGCCAATATATTAACTTAAGTAAAACAAGTTGGTGGCAGAAGGATTGGGAAGGAAACATATGATCGCTAATTGTTTGTGATGTGATCATTTACATATACAACCCAAAAGAATCTACAAATACTTCAATATAATAAGAGAATTTAATAATGTAGCTCAATAAAAGATTAATATAAAAGAGTATATTGCAATTTCATACACCAGCAACAAAAATAATTAAAAAGAAGATAGTATTTGTTTGCCATAGTCTTAGAGGACACAAATTACCTAGGAATAAATCTAATGATGAATTAAATGAATTTATCATTTAACAATAATAAATGAATGAAAACCATTACAGGGAAAATTATTAACTTTAATGAAGACTCAAACAATGGAGCTAATGGAGATACACACCAAGTTCTCTAAATGAAAGATTCCGTTCTCCCCAGGTAAATCTATGGAGCAATTTTGATCAAAATCCAAAAGGCTGTTTTGGAAGTAAATCTGATAAGGATTTATAAAATTATATGTTATTATTATTTGGAAGAATAAAGAGCCAAGAATAGTCAGCGTATTTCTGAAGAAAATTTGGGAGAGGAAAACTTGCCCTACAGGTATCTGAATTTATTTAATCCTACAGTAAATAAGGCAATGGCGAAGGTACTGGGGTGTCCATATTGACCAATGTTAGAGAGCCTAGAGCCAGACCCACATACGTATGAAATGTGAACACATGAAAGAAATAGCATGTAGGATCAGCAGGGAAAGAGGAGACTACTCAGTAAATGCAACTAAGAAAATGGTTATCTGTGTGAAAAATACATAAAACTGGATTTCTGCTAGTTATTTATCTTGTCTCTCTCAACCCCAACCTCACTCCTCTGTAGTATTCTCTATCATACTGGCTACAATGTGTGTTTGCTCTATTATGTGAGATTATTCAGTTTTGTACTGAGGACAAGACAAGCAGGTGGATGAAACTCATCAGATGTATTAACTATAGATACAAAGTAAGCAAGTCATTTGTGAGACACAGGCAGAGTTCAGAAGATGTGCTAAAAATACAGGTTGAGTATCCCTTATCTGGGATGCTTTTGGGATTTTGGAATACTTACATTACACTCATATGTTGAGCACCCCATTCCAGAAATCTGGAATCCAAAATGCCTCAACTAGCATTTCCTTTGAGTGTCATGTCAGTGCTCCAAAAGTTTCAGAATTTGGATCATTTCAAATTTCAGATTTGGGATTCTCAATCTATAGTAAGTTAGCAACCTGCAAGACATGTAAAACAGAATAAATGGAATAGACTACACAAGACTACACAAACAAGAGTTCTCTACTTACAGGCAGAAAAGGGTAGAAACAAAACAAAACAAATCATAAGCCATGAGGTATAGATTATGCCACCTTGGTGTTGGTGTCCATGTCATCCCTAAATTGACTACCTACTGGTGGCACCTTCTGGCCCCCTATAAGCTCTGCCCAAGAAATGCTGGCAAAAAAGGATGGCTGACCAAAACACTGACGAAGACCTGTGGCCAAGCCCACCTGCCCTTAAACATCTCTCAATGGAATGAGTATGCCTTGGTTCCAAGGATCTTCAGCATGCTGATCCCCTTACTCAATCTCAGTTCTGGTCCTCACAACTATATCATGCAGAGCAAAACACAGGATTGAGGCTGCGAGACTGTGCAGGACTTTTGCTCTGCTTGCATTCCCCAGTGTGTTAGCCTCGTGTAAACCTGTCCCTTTTGTTCTAGCTCCATGCTTTAAATAGATTCCATAACCCTTGTGATTTGATCATCATAATTTGGTCTAAGCCTTTCTGATCTGTGGCCTCTGGAATAGCCTGCCTATCATGAAGGCAAACATTGCATCATGGTGACTTCCCACAGGACACTGGTTCCCAGACGCCCTTGTCAGCTGATTTCTGGTTAGATTCTGCCAAGAGGAGGTGCTGGAGGGAGACGAAAAGGTGGAAAGAGGAGAAAAGGGACTCACAGGCTGCCACTGCATCAGTCCAGCATCTGGACACTTCTACCACCAAAGATTCCTCTCTGTCAAACTGGAAAACAAAAAAAAAGTTTGCAATGTGGGAAAGAAGTCTTGGTTCCAAAATATAAAATTGTAAAATCAAAATTCATATTTTTTTCATTAAATGCCAACAAAATGTCAACTCAGTCAGCTTGTAAACCACAATTCAACTCTTTAATAGTTTCATGTAAATAAAACTATTAAAGGTTGAATTATAAGAACAAAATGAAGAACATATTTTAAAATTCAGAATTATAACAACCATTTTCCTTGCTTTTTAACATGAAAGGTATTATATTTGACATGGAATGAGGGTCCATTTTAGGTTGATTGACATGATGTGTGTGTATTTTTAGGGAGGGGTGGGGGATGTTTAATAGTAAGAGTAGTCATGGCCTCCAAGGGTCTATAAAGGGACAAAGACAGGCTTTGACTCAGTGTATTCCTGTTGTATCCTCCACTTTGTGCAGTGTAGCTAACATCTTCTAGCAACAGCTTATGAAGCAGGAGAGCAGAGAATTGAGGAGCAGCCCAGAAAGGCTAGAACTTTGAAAGGACTAGACAGCTCAACTCAATCTGGCCTGTGAGGAAATGTAAGGCTAGAGTCCCTGGGTGCCCTTGTGTACCTGTGTTTGGGGGTGGCTGGGCCAAGGTATGTGTGCTTGGGGTGATGAGTCTCGGTGACCCTGGAAAATATGAAGAGTGGCCAATCATTGTCTAGTTTCATAGTTCTGGGGCCATCCATAGCTTTGCAAGCCAGAGAAGAAACAGCTCTGGTCTCTCAGAGGAAGGGATCAGCCAGCCCCCCACGCCCTCTACTTCTATTTTTCCTCCCTGAAGCCTGACATCCACTTTGCCCTCACACCTTGCACCCAGCATGTGTTCTTTCTATACCAGAGATTCTTGAACCTCAGTGTGCATGAGTCATGGAGAATACTTATTCAGAGTACATATTCTGGTCCTCACCTTTGGTTCCGTATAGATCGTGCTTTGAGAAAACTCTGCTCCATAGAATCATTCTCTCTCTGCTCCCAAAGCTAGTTAAGAAGATCAGGTACTAAATAAGAACAAGTTCTTTCCCCTGTTTCCCATGGTCCAGCTACAGGAGACAAATGGTATTTAAAGTATCCAGGAAAAAAAAATCTAGAAATGGAAGTTAAAGTGGACAAAATTAGCTTTTATATCTAGCACGAATTACAACCCCACATTTGTTCACAACTGCACACTGGGTGTCTGCAGCAGACCCATCCTTTGGAGCTGAGGAAGTTCAGGGGAGCGGGGGGCCTGGCAGTGTTGGAGCTAACTCCTTTTCCCTGTTAATTGGGAGTCCCAAGGACCAATGCCTAATTTTAAAATGCATTTTTGCCACTCTTTCTGTCCCCAGGCCCTTGCCATCACTATGTGACCAGTTCCGAATCATCATTTACACTTTGAAACAGATTCATACCATGCTATTGTATTCAATCAAATTTGCATATCAGGCCTTTGCTCTGATTGTGTGATGAAATACTTTGCTCCCTGTTTAAAGGAATGCTGGGCAACAAGACCAGAATAACATTTTGGTTTTGTTTTTAGACCTGGATCCTTCTCCTGTGCAACCCCAGTGCATAGTAGGTTTGAGACGGACCATAAAGGTAAATCTATTTTTATAATGCTAAGGTGTCTGCAGAGAAATCGGAAAGGACCACAGAGTGCTGGTCTGGCTTCCTTTTCTTCCCTTTAGGCTATGTGGCACAGAATTCACAAAAGAGGCTGAGCTGAGTATAATTCCATGATTCCACTCTGGATATCAGAACAGCCTCTCCCAGGTTATGTCTTATCTGATTCCCCACCTGGTGCCATCATCTGCCCAGCCTGGCTTCTCTCTTCTCCAGTCTTTACATCCCCAATTCAAGACTAAGCTGCCTACCCGGCTAAGAGTGTCTGCCATTCAGTTCAGCAACACCCAGAAGAACGGGTGAGGAACAGGAAGCTCAAGGATCTATCAGGTGGTGGAGGATGGAGTCACAGAAAGTCCTTTTTCTGATGGGAAAGCAAGGTGAAAGCCCTAGTGGCTTAGACCCAGGTCTGGACAGGGGATAACTGGGGAGAAGGCTGCCAGAGAAGTCCTTTTTCTTTAGGATGATGGTGATGGGGAACTAAGTGGGGAACTATGGAAGGTCATAGGAAAAGTTAACACAAGTTAACAAAAAGTTAACACAAAAAGATCTTTCCGAAAAAAAAATAGTGAAAGAAAAAGTCTACAAGAATGGTTTGGACAACTAAAATGAATGCTTATAGTCAGGTATGCGCGCTACTCACTCCTGATGCTTCACTCACACACAGCACAGAACCGGTGGTCACAGGGTGGTAAAGTTCTACCTAATTAACGAAATGCTCATACATCTAAACTGAGGTCCTCACAGTAGATTCCTTTTGCAAGATGGTTATTGGCTTACGGCTTAAAAATAAAGGAAAACCAAAAGGAAAGAAAAGGCGGAAAAATCACAGGAAACTTGCCTCTGCCCTGGCCACCGGCAAGGCTGCCACAAAGGGGTTAAAAGTTAAGTGGAAGTGGAGCTTGAAGAAGTGGGATGGGGCCTCTTCAGAAAGCTGAACGAGGCATCTGGAGCCCGAACAAACCTCCACCTTTTTTGGCCTCGACGGCGACAACCAAGCCTCCTTCCTAAGGCCCTCCGCCTTTGGGACTAACCAGGGGAGCTCAAGTTAGTAGCAGCCAAGGAGAGGGGCTGCCTTGCCAAGACTAAAGAGGGAGGGGAGAAGAGAGAGAAAAAGTAAGAATCCCCCACCCCCTCCAGGGCGGAGGGGGCAGGAGGAGCGCGTCCTGGCCACGCCAAGCAGCGTCTTCCACTTGGTGCGTCTCTCTGGGAGCGGCACGAGAAGGATGCTGGTCCGCAGGGGCGCGCGCGCGGGGCCCGGGATGCCGCGGGGCTGGACCGCGCTCTGCTTGCTGAGTTTGCTGCGTGAGTACGAGTACTGCTTGCGCGCCGCGGCCGCTTGGCTTAGCCGCTGGGAGGGTGGAGGCTCTCCGAGGCTCTCCGAGAGGCTGAACGGCAGAGCAGAGCTGCGCAGAGGGAAGGGACCCCTGCCCAACCCACGCACTGACGCCCATGGCTGCTCCCGCCGGGGCCAGCGCCTCACCTGAGAGCCGACAGGGGTGGGAGGGGAAGGGATGGCCCCCGCCCCGCGGGTGTGCATTAGCAGAGGTGCGAACCGGTCAGCACAACAGGCTCCAACGGACTCAGATAAAGCGCTGTGGAGATGCCAGGGTCTTTTCTGGTTGCCAGAAGTGCGGAGTGCGAAGTTGCAGCGAGAACCGGGAGACCGCGGAGGAGAGAAGCAGGAAAGTTTTGTGGCTCTTGGTTGATTCAGAAAGCAGAGATCCGGAGCGGACTGCTGGGAAGGGGCCGGGGTGCCCACCTTGCACTGGGACTGGGGGAGCTAGAAGTGGACAGTAAAGAATTCGAGGGGAGAGAATCAGGGATGAGGCTCCAGGTCTCAGGCCAGGGGAGTTCAGAATGAACAGCCCGTGAAAAGAAAAACAAAACCAATCAAACAAACAAAGCCTTGCATTTAAGATTGGGAAGCTGAGTTTGCAGTCCCACTTGAACAACCCCACCGCGGAGGAGGTAGAGGTAGACAGAATTTGCTCTGCACCCAGCCTTGCTCGCCTTACCACAAACCCTCACCCCTGCACAAACTTAAAACTTGTCATCTTTTTGAGTTTTCTTCCTCTGCCCCCACTCCAAGTTCTAAAGCTAGTGGATGGGTTAGAACACCCCCCCCCTCACCTACACATACCCTTACTTCTTAAGGTCTTGCTTCACGTTAGTTAAAAAAAAGAAAAGGCACCCAGTAAATGTTTATACTTGATTGCTTTCCTTGGGGAATGACATTCTCCACCTCATCTCTTTGCACTTGGGAGGTTTGAAACTTTGTACATTGCACTCCCTCTTGCTTGCAGCACTCATGGGCTTCCAATTCCATACTCTCACTACATCCTAAAGGCCATCCACTGCGGCCCTGCAGAGTGACCTGGGCTAGACCTCTTTGCTCCCAGTCTTCTCCGTGGTTCCCCTTTGGGTCTGCCCAGTTGGGGAGAACTGCGCCTGGGCTGGAAGAAGCTCTGGGTGAGGTTTTGGGTTGCCCTGTTTGGCAGTCCTGGACATGTGCTTTGGGGCAGGGAAAAGCTGTCGCTGAGGTTTCGAAATCCTAGAGTGGGTGCTAGACTAGGCCTTCACAACAGGGGTGAGTTGGCCAATGGTGCAGATTCCAATCAGATGCTCCACTCTCCTTTGGCTACACAGCTTGCGATGACCTGGTCCTCAACCGAGTGAGGTCCACCCTCTTCTTATTTATTTCCTCAGCTGGTCGGTGTCAGTCTCGCCTTGGCCTGCCGAGGTTGGGGTCAGGCGAGCAACACAACCTCTGCAAAACTTTGGGCTGACATGCTGAGAATTCTATATCCCAGCTTTGGGTGGGGATGGATGGGGCACAGGGCCCTATTCTCAACCTTGCCAAACTACTTGAGCCAATTGTAGCTTTATGCCCTTCCCCAGAGCTTTCTAGGGTTTTTGCTTGATTATTTTGTTTTGTTAATACTAGGAGTCACTTTCTGTCCTGGGATACATTGTGGGATAAATGAGATGACTGAATGTACCGTGAAATGCTACCATAGAGCCATTGCGGAAATGCTATGATTATTGCAAAATTTAGGGTGGAGGGGATTTCTGTGGTTTGTTTTCTCATCATTTACCCCAACAAAGAGCTTGTTCTGGGAAGGTCTTTTTTCTGTCCCTTTGAGAAGGTAGCATGTGCATAGGCACTTCAGCTAACCAGAAGTGGGCTGTCTTTGTTGGAGGTGGGTAGATCACTGACCAGAGTCAGGGTGAGGGGCTAAGGGGTCACCAGGCAGCACTGCCAGTGCACTGGCTGGAACAGGAAGACTTTCAGGTAATTAGGGAACCCCTTTGTCAGGCTCAGGGTATCTATTTCCTCTAAGCTTTCCAAGGCCTGTCCCTCTCCTCACTCTAACAACACCCCCAGGCCCTTCCTGTCACATTCCTCGTCTTCCTTTGGGTCCTTCGTGCCTGCTGACCCCACACCCATATCCTGTCTGGGGCTACATGTAAGAGGGGAAAAAGAAAAGAGAAAAGAATTTTATCAGATATTTTCCAGAGGGGAGACGACTCCACCCTTTGAATCTCTGCCATATGGAGACCAAGGAGGAGCAGCCTTGGGGACCTCTGACTAATTCAGTGGTCCCCAGTGCTCCCCGCTTGTAGACCCAATCCAGCTGGCATCACCTTTGCAGATACATGTCTTCAGCATTCCTGTTGGGCTGATAAAACACGCAGGGGCCTTGGGCCTCTTTTTCTTATCCCTTGGCTCCACCTCCTGGGCCTCCTCACTCCCTTGTCCTCATCCCCTTCCTTTGCAAACTTTGTCTCATAAAGCTCATGGCAAGAAGTGCCAAACTGCAGCAGATAAACTCAGCTTCAGAGTCCTACAAAAACAAATAAAAATGAGGAACAAATTCCGCCTCTTACGGTTGGTCTCATTGCCTGATTTCCTGTAGACCCTGAGCTGGAAGGCCTGCATTTACTTACAGGGCTGGATGGTTACCCAGCTCCCCCCTCAGGGTTCTTGGGCCTCCTTCTCTCATTGACTTTGGTTGATCTAACTAAATGGCTTGCAGTCTGGAGAACTAAAAATGTGAAGATATGGAAAAAGAACAGAACACCACCCTCCAAAAGAAAATTCTCACAGTCGCCAGGGCTGTGAGAATTCTGTATTTTTCTGGGCTTTGACTTCTCTAATGAGAACATTCTCTTCCCTCCTTAGCTAATAAATGAAAACATATTATCTTTGACTTTTAGTCCCAGAGCCGGACTTTGTGCTAAGGAGAGAGATGCATGCATGTTGGAAAGATGGAGAGACAAATAAATAGGGATGCATACAAAGGTGTACTTCCTAGTACCTGTGCTCCCAGAGCCCACCAGGGAATGAATCATTTCCCTTCAGATGCAACGGAAAAGGCCTCTGGGCTTAACTGGGAAGTAGGCTTCTTCCTGATTTGGAAAAATAAAATCAAAACTGGTACTTCTTAGAGAGGCGTGGCATCTGTAGGCAGCTGATTTAAGAAAATGTCTTAAGGGTTCTTTGGGTGACAAAGCCTAGAACCTAGAACCACCCTGGATGAGCAAAGGGATGTTGGAGGCTGAATTGCTGAGCATGATAACATAAAGTGAAGCCTCATGTTTGGGTGGGCCCAAGAGACACAAGGCTAAAAGGACTCCAGAGTCCAGGAAGAGCATATAAAGGGAGGGGAGGTGCCTGGACAGTGACGGGTGGAGGATGGAAAAGACCTGGGATGAATTTTTTTTTTTTTTTTTACATTAGCCCAGTAATGTCTAATATTTGAAGGTTATGCCATTGTCTCCTCTGGGCTGCCCTGTAATCTCGTTCCATGTTCTCAACCTGTCAGTAAGTATTGGCTACACACACTAGCCTTTGTTAGTGGCTGTCTTGGGAAAGTAAAGGAATGAGTGCTTGGCTAGCTTATGGTGAAGTGGTATGCTAATGAGGACAGCGAGCCGCTGAGCCATGGAGCTGCGACCCAGGAATCTGTGGTGCTGGGAAAACGGAGGAAGAGGCGACAGGGAGAAATGAACTCCAGAGGTTCAAGATAATCAGGGTTCCACAGTAAGTGGATGGGATGCAAGACATACTGTTTTTTCATTTGTTTGTTTGTTGAGATTAAGTTTTGCTCTTGTTGCTCAGGCTAGAGTGCAATGACACAATCCCAGCTCACCGCAACCGTACCTCCTAGGTTCAAGCTATTCTCCTGCCTCAGCCTCCTGAGTAGCTGGGATTGCAGGCATGCTCCACCACACCTGGCTAATTTTTGTATTTTTAGTAGAGATGGGGTTTTTCCATGTTGGTCAGGCTGCTCTCGAACTCCTGACCTCAGGTGATCCAGATGCCTTGGCTTCTTAAAGTGCTGGAATTATAGGCATGAGTCACCGTGACCAGCCAAGACATGCTATTTGAATACAAAATGGAAATATCAGTGCACTGGGAACCCTCACGCCACAGACCCTTGGTTTATATATACTCACACCTCAGTTTAGCCTTTGAAGCTTAAGAAGGCATTAGCTCAGTTCTTTGTTCTAGTCTAGGATGACTCAAATTCATGGTAGCCCTCAGAGTTGGAAGGGCCCCCTAACACAGATGCTTCCTGAATGTTTGCAAGAGGCGTGGATTGCTCACTGATCTCTGAAAGTGGCTTATTTCATTCTTTTAAGTACCTACATCATTTTAAGCCTTTTCCTTGGATTGCAGTGAAATTGGCCTTCCCATAACTTCTAATCGTTCGTTCTAATTCTATTCTTTGGGCTGGTACAGGTTTAATTTGGTCCTACATGATAATACCTAAAGACCTTTCTAGTGGGCCCTGTTAGATTATAAACACCTTGAGGGATTGATTTAAATGACAATGACACTAGTACCTGATGGAGGAAAGAGAGCCCGCTCTTATTTTATACGCTCCACAGCACTGAGAGAGATGCTTTGCACATCACCAGCGCTACAGAAAAATGACAATGAATATACAGGGTAAGTATCCCTTATCCAAAATGTTTAGGACAAAAAGTGTTTCAGATTTCAGATATTTTCAGATTTTGGAATATTTCGTAGACATAATGAGATATCTTAGGAATGGGACCCAAATCTAAGCATGAAATTTGTGTTTCATATATACCTTATACACATAGCCTGAAGATAATTTTAGACAATATTTTTAATACATTTGTGTGTGGAACAAAGTTTCGACTGTGACCTGTCACATGTGGTCAGGTGTGGAATTTTCCACTTGTGGTGCCATGTTGGCACTCAAAAAGTTTCTTATTTTGGAGTATTTTAGGATTTCTGATTTTCAGATTGGGGTGCTCAACCAGTATAA